CAGCACCCGGGAGGCTGAGGAAGGATTGTCATTGTTGTGAGTGTGAGGCCAGCTTAGGGTACATAGTGAGTCCAAGGCCAGCCCGAACTTTTACAGTTGAATGGGTCCAAAATAGCCCAGATTCTTGTGTATGACAAGGAAAAAGAATGGCCAAGCACACACTTTATAGTAAGGAGTAAGTAGCTACTTTATTGAAGATCATGGGACAATAATAGCAGGAACAGGCAGAAGGGCAAAGGAAAAACAATGAGGAAGAGGAATCCCTGTAACTCAGGCTTCCGGTATTTAAAGGATTAGATGTCTTGGACTCCAGGTGCCTCCCGTTCTGTCTTCACTGGTCTCAGTCATCTGCCCCTTTGAGCATCCCGATCTCCTAGGTTTAAATACAGATAATCATCAGGGTGGTGTTGTGTTTATAGTTGAATGAAGAGAAGGGAGTGGCTCCCTCAGCTTCCCTGTTTCTAACTGTACTAGAACTGCGCAGCGAGGCTCTGTCTCAAAAATGAGAAGAAGGAAAAGAGAAGAAAGTTGGTTGAATGATTCTACTTAATGTGGACGGAGAATTCATTACATGGACCTTGACATTCATTGTCTCATTTAATTCTCACTGAGATATTAACTCTGAGGTATTAGTAGTATTACTACCCCTATTTACTGGATGAGGGCGAGGGCGAGGAGGTCATATACTTACAGAGCTAGGATTTTAGTCCTTCTAGTTTGACCTCATACCTCAAAGGCTAAACCAGATGACTGAGGGTGAATGAGGCAGAACCCTTTTCGGCAGCCCCGTATTGATGGCAATCCAGAGTCAATGAAAATATAACACCTCCTTGTTCATTTACTCCCAGAACCTTCTCAGGAGAGTGCATCCTGTGTGGTAGTTTCCTTTGGATGTGGTGGGCCAAGCACAGTGGAATTTATGTAGAGATGATTTGTCTGTGTGGCAAGGGGAAAAGATCTGGAGACACAGGTCTGTGAGACTTTTTGAAGTGAGCCAAGACAGAATCCCGGACACCATGTGGGGTGAGTGAGACTCTGAGATCGTCATTCCCTTGACAGGAAAGCTATTAATCTGAGAAGAGAAACAAAGCAAAGGGGATTTGTGGCTTGAGGATGGAGAGACACGTGGTACAGCACATGCTGAATGAGGGAGGCGTGGGAGTGAGTCCTACACACATCCAAAGGACAGTGGTGTGATAGCCTTGGGGGGCCCAGCAGGTCTGAAGAAGTCGAGGAAGCCAGAGGAAGCAGCAAAAGAGGAAGAAAAGGAGAGGAGCTCAGAAAGGAAGGGAGGGCACGGGATGACAGCTCACTTGGTCGTGGGTTGTAGAAAGGCTTTGGCTTCCACTGAGGAGGGGGGCCTTGTGAGGTTTTGAGCAGAGCAGCAGAATGGTGTCTTGTGTTTTAAAAGGACTCTTAAAAACAAGAGGAAAAGAAAAGAAAAAAATTTGAAGGGCCTCCTTCTCTCCTGACACAATAAACATTGAGGGCAGCATTGTGCACAGCTAAGTCAATCAGTCTCAGCTAGCTGAGGGCAGACCCCTGAGATTCAGGCTGATTTCTGGCTGCAAGGCCCAAATTGCGCTCCCTGACCTCCTGCAGGGTTGAACTCTGCAGGGTTCTACTGCAGGTTCCAGCTACCCTTTCCCTGAAGATAGTCCAAGTCCTGATGGAAGGTGGTGATCCCTCCAACTTACCAACTACAGAGATCTGATGTGCCTTTATTGCTGTTGTTCACTTCTTTGCTATCGTCTGGAGCTCAGTATAGTGGCCTTTATGACCACCTGTGTCTCTGCGGTGTGAATCCAGGTACCAGCACAACCAGGAGGCCTGAGAGCATGGTGGGGGGATGCTGCAGAGCACCTGTGTGGCTGTGTGGCACTGGTCTGCTCCAATGAAGGCCCAAGGTGCTGAAGGTCTCTTTTTGATTTTTTTTTTTTTTTTAGTCTCACTTTGTAAGACTTAAAGTCTCACTCTTACTCCTGGGGCGTGAACAGCCAGGAGGCCTCCACGACGCTGAGCCTAAAAGCTCAGTGAGGCTCCAGGAGCTTGTTGAATAGTGAGAATCACCCAGGAAGGAACACACCAGGCTGGTTGGTAGATAGACCTTTATTAGTCTGGCCAGGCAGCACTCCCAAAGCCAAGCAGCTCAGAGAGGCAGGTAGCTCAGAAACAGAGGCCATTTTATATAGGGCTATGGGGGGTGTGTACACTCAAAACTTACAGGAAGGGGACAAAGGCAAAGAATCATTTGATCTGAACTGATGGTCATCAGTCATATACTCGACTGTTACGTACCAGTGATCAGCAGTTCGATTATCCATTGTTCCATTTACAGCTTAGATCATGGTGTTCAGAACATTCAACTACAGGCAAGTAAGGAGTGGCGTGATTGATGTTGGGTCTCTGTGTTCACTACAGTTTCCATTTAGTTTCCCAGCTACTTCTAAGCAGTTACCTAACAATTCACAATTAATCATTAGTTATCCTATAAGGGATGGGGGGAGCGACAGTCTCTAGGTCGTTTGCTGGTCAACATGGAGTCGCTCTAGTTCAGTTAGGCTCTTATAATTTATGTGGTGAGACTGATCTGGAATTCACTGTGTAGCCCAGGCTGGTCTCGAACTCACAGTGATCCCCTCCCTAGTGCTGGGATTACAGGCGTGTGCCACTACACCTGGCTCTTTTTGATATTTATGAAGATTTAAAACTAAGAGTTTGCCTTGAGTCTCAAGGGAGACTTTGGACTTGGACTTTTTACTAATGCTTGAATCGTTAAGACTTTGGCAACTCTTGGAGATGAGCTAAATTCATTTGCATAAGGACATGTACATAAGATTTTGGGGGCTGGGCAAAAATGTTATGGTTTAGGTCTAAAACCTCCCATAAAGTCTCATGTGTGCAGAGGTGGAGCTTTTGGAAGGCGATTGGACCATGGGGACAGAACATCCACCAGTGAATTAACCCACAAATGAGTTCATCTCTGATTGTGCTTTCAGGAGGCAGGGCCTTGTCGGAGATGGGTCAGTGAGGGTGTGAACAGGAAGGGTGTATTCTTACCCCATAGTCCGGTCTTTCTCTGTTTCCTGCCTGCCACGGTTGGAGCAGTTTTGCTCCACCACACCCTCCTCCATGCCACCTCTCCCATGAAGCCAACCAACTATGGCCTGAACCCTCTGAAGCCCATGAACCAAGATAAAACTCTCCTCTTTTAAGTTGTGGCTGTTGACTGTTTTGTCCCAGCTATGGGAAACACACCAATAGAGCATGTAAATGTTTACAGTTGTTATACGTCTTCTTGGTGCACTGAACCTTTTATTAATATGTAACATCCTTATTTGTCTCTCATAAACCTTTTGACTTAGTTTATTGGTTGGTATTTGTAGGAAATATCCTTTTCCATCCTTTTACTTTAAATTTTTGTTGAAAGTAACAATACTCTGCATCTAAAATGACTCTTATAGATAGTATATAATGGATTGTTTTTTAATTTATTCTGAAAATTTCTGTCTTTTGATTGGAGAAATCGATCCATTTTCATACAAAATAATTCTATATGCCTTATAGTATTTTATCTCTAATTTCCTGTATTACTGTACTTCTTAGTGTTTAATTGACTTTAAATTTCTCATTTCCTTTTTTTGTATATTCCTTAGCCATTTTCTTTGTGATTACCATAGGAATTAATTTAACATCCTAAAGCTATAGCACTTTAATTAAAAATTATAGGATGTGAGAGTAATCTGGCTGTGACATCTGTCACCCCATTGATCACCAGGGTTGACCCAGCTGATCTGGCTGGCTGGGTAGGGCCCCTTCCTCCCTCACTCTACCATGTGTGTCCCTCCTGAAGGTGCACGCTCACTGAAAGCAGACAACCAACCTGGACAGAGGATGACTGTTTCCTCTGTTAAGGGTACTGGAGTAGATGCCCTAGAACCTCCAAATAAAATTTTGTCAGCAAAGGGGCTGGGGATAGCTAAGTGGCCGGCCTCACTGCCTTGCAAGTACAAGGTCCTGAGTTTGATTCCCTTACCAAAAAAAAAGAAAAAAAATCTGTCAGCAAAAATTCAATAGCATACACAGATTCTGCTCCTTTAACAGTGTAGTTTCTACCTCTTTCAGTACTCCCTCCCTCTTTCTCTCTCTCTCTCTCCCCCTCTCTCCCAGGGATCGAACTCAGGACCTTGCATAGGCAGTAGAACCACTGAGATAAATCTCCGGCCCAGTGTGGGTCTCTTTGATGGTCATATTTATATGAACTTTGGATGGTCATATTTATAACTTTCACCAAATGGGAAGTCTTGGGCCATTATTTCTTCAAATATCCTCTCTAACCCTTCCTCTCTCCTCTCTTTTGGGGACTCCCACAATGTGTATGTTGATCTCTCTGGGGCCCCACCAGTTCTTCAGGCTCTGCTCACTTTTCTTCAGTCCTTTTCTTCCTGGGTTTGAGACTTAATTTCTATTATCCTATATTTAAGTTTACTTATTCTTTTATCTGCCTATTTAAACCTGCCTTTGAACCCTTTCAATGAAATTTTCATTTTCATTTTACTTATTGTCATTTTCAGCTCCAGAATTTCTTTTTGGCATCTTTTTAGGTTTTCTGTCTTTTTATTGATATTTCTGTCAAGTCAATACGTTATTTTTGACTTTCTATATATCTTCCTTTGGTGTTTAATGTGGGGACAAAGGATTGAAGTTTTCAGCATCTGAACTTTGACAGCACACCTCTGTCTGTCTGCACTGGACAGTCATAAAGCACTGCACCAATGAGGACTAAAACAGCAGAAGGTAAAAGTAAATATAAAAAAGTCCTTTTCTTTCCTGAGCTAATGTTATGCAGGCTGTGCCCGGTGCAGGAGGAAAATGGAGCCCCTGTGTGTTCACTGAGCCTCCGCCCTCTTCCTTTGAATTTTCAAGGGCCTCAGCCTCCTACTTCTGCTTTTATACTTGATCTTAGCCAAAGGCCAAGAAGCAATACCGCTTCTCTTTTTTACCCTTTCTGGCTTTGGTGACTTCCTTGAAGTGGGTCATTGGTGTCTGTTAACCCACAGCTTATGCTTCTCTCAGGTTCCTGCTCCTTTCGGCCATGACCTGTAGAGTTCTTCTGGTGACAGGTACACTGGGGACCCAGGGTTCCTCCAGGTGGGGGAAAGGGGAACTTTTGGGCTGTGAGAGCAGAGAAGGGGCAAAGACTGTATAAGAGTTAGACAGGGGAAGAAAAAGGGGATTTGGGAAGGATAAATAATTGAACCAGTGGTTGAACTCAGGACCTTGTGCTGATGAGGCAGGTGCAGTAACATTGAGCTAAATCCTTGGCCTGCCTCCAGTTCTATTTAACAAGTATTAAGTGTAAATATTTGTTGAGTGACCAATGAATCAAAATGATATGAACTAGTTTAATTTTGGGCCCATGTTTTGTGGAAAATAAGTCAAAAAGGGAAGGAAATTCTTGAGAGTTATGTAGAAAGGAAATTTTCTAAGTCTGTGGGAGTTTCATTGCTGGACAAACCATCATGTTGCAGCATTGGCTGAAGGACCGTTTGTTCCTGAAGATGGAGGCTGGAGCTCAGACAGGGACTGATTCACACTGTGATGATGGTCCTTGGGCCATAAGTCAGCAGACTTGGCCCATGGTCATTGGTGCGGCCACCACTCTTGGCTGCTACTGCTAAGCTGTAGTTGAATATGAATATTTATATTCACTTTGGGCATTGGGAACACTAATTTTGAATTCCAGTTAAGTGAAACACTATCTCCGTAAAGAATTGCAGTGTGTTCATTAGTAAATTTGAATTACAAAAAATTATACATAATAATTATATCGTGAATTTCCTGATGAACAATTTGTGGAAATGCATCTTCTTTTGTTAAGGCACCTGTGTAGTATGGTCTGCCTTTTGGCTGCAAAGCTGGAGGATTTACTACCTGGCCTTCAGTAGAGATGTGTGGGGAGAGCTGGACCAGGAGGCAGACATCCTGGTCCTGACGCTGGGCAGGCAATCTGGGCAGGCAGGTGCGTGGAGCAGGAAGGCAGGCCACTGGCTCCTTGGCCTGACCCTCACCCTCTTACTCTCCCTCCAGCCTTGGCCCTGTGTCATGGGTTCAACCTGGACACCGAGAATCCAATCACCTTCCAAGAGGATGCAAGGGGCTTCGGGCAGACCGTGGTCCAGTTTGAGGGGTCCTGGTAAGAGCCTCTGCAGCAGTCACCTATCTCGTGTGCTTCCATAAGTTCGAGGGCAGGGAGCAATTTTGTGGACTGATTTTTGGTTGTTATTGTTTATATGGTTCTGGAGATCGAACCCAGGGCCTCACACATGCCAGTCAGGCGAGTGCCCTGCTACTGTGCTACAAGCTCAGTTCTCTTGGTTTGTTTTAGTACACAGTACACTGTCATTCGTCATTGGGCTCTTGTACCTTTACACGACAGGTCTTGGTTCTCATTTTTTCCCCTTACCCCTGCCCTCCCTATTTTCAAAAACCTTATTTCCATTTTCTCATATTTTTTCTTTTCCCTTATTTCCTTTCCCCTACTCCTCCCACTTCCCTTATACCTTTAGCCCTTTTCTTCCTGTTACACATTGTCAATTATACCATTAGGATCTTATTTGATTTGCTTTTAATAGGTAGTAAAGTTACAGAATTCAGATTCAAAGGATACAAAAGGATGTCACGGTAAAAGTTCTCTTCCCCACTCCCTTCCTCCACTTCTTTTCCCTAGAAAATGGTTTCTTATGGGATCTTCCACAGAGCCCATTCCTCCATGCTGGAGGTTGAACCAGGGCCTTTTCCCTGACCTACATTCCCAGCCCTTTTTTATTTTTATTTTCAGAGAGAGTCTCACTAAATCACCACGTTGCCTAACCTGGGCTTGAAATTGCAATCTTCCTGCCTCAGCTTCCTGGAGTGCTGGAATTTCAGGCTTTTGCCACCCCATCCAGATCTGTAGAGATCCGTAACTGTGTCTGTGTCTGTACCTATCTCTATCTGTGACTCTGCAGCTACCCATTTCTGTACCCACACAGTGGTGCCTCAGTTCATGAACTTAATGTTTTCCACGATTCTGGCCACAGAATTCATTCCATGATTCAGATTGTAATGGAATTGTAAGCATATTGTAACTAGAATTGTGGAATAAATTCTGCAACCGGAATCATGGAAAGAATTAGGCTTGTGTAACGAGGCACCACTGTGTCCATATCTGCATCTATATCTGCATTTGTTATCTATCTTTATCTAATATCTATATCTATATCCCTAACTCCCACCGTGCACATAATTTGTAGCATGCATTATACTCAAATTATGGCCTGTGTTCAGGCTGCCACCTACTTCCTTTTACAGAAACATTATGTAAAAAGCATTACCTTTTGAAAAAAATGATTTGGCCTCTGCTTTATTTATTTTTTTATTTATTTTCTTGGTACTGGGGATCGAACTCGTGTCCTTGCACTTGCGAGGCAGGCAGCAGAACCACTGAGCTAAATCCCCAGCCTAATTCTGCATTTTCTACTGTGTTTTGTTTTGTTTTGTTTGGCCTCTGCTTTATACTGCACTTTGCCCCCCACCCCCATACTTGCTAGAAGCCATTGCTTTACCAGATGCACACAGAACTGACTCCTGTCATCTGCTTGTGTTCAACATTAAATCTTTTCTTAAGGGACATTGAAATTGTTTCTAAACTTACACGAACAATGCTGACATTTTGCATGTGTGCTAGCATATTTGAAAGTAAGTTCTGAGCACGGGGATTGTTGGGTCCAAAGGTATATATGGGCAGATCCAATTTTCACAGATTTTCTAGATTGCCCTCTGTAGGGGTAGTAACAATTTACACTTGAGCCAGAAACTTGTGGAAACATCGATTTCCCCATCCATTTGCCAATCCACTGTGTTATCAAACTTAACTAACTGTTGTAAACCCAGTGTGTAAGAGTTGGTATCACAATTTAGTTTCAAACTGCTTTCCCTTTTAATGAGGGATGTATTTCCTTTTCTGTTAACATTTTCTTTTTAAATCTCTTGCTCGCTTTTTCTCCCCCCTCTTAATGGTTTGTAGGAACTGATTATATTCAGGGAAGTAGCCTGGGATATAAGTTAAGTCTTCCTCCCCTCCAGTTCATTGTTTGTTGTTTGATTTTGCTTATAATAGTTTATAATATACAGAAACATTTAAAATGACTATATGGGTGAGTATTATTGATCGATTGTATTGGGGATTGAACCCAGTGCCTTCATACTGAGCTGCATCTCCACCTCTTTTTAAATTTTTAAAATTTTATTTTGAGGTAGGGTCTCACTTACTAAATTGCTCAGGCTAGGCTCAAACTTGTGATCCTCCTGCCTCAGCCTCCCAGAGTGCTGAGATTACTCTAGGAGTGCACCACCATACCCAGCTGAACTTACCCATTTTTAACCGTCCTCTGAGTTTTGTGTCTTCCCTTTCCATTTGGAAAAATTTTTCCTTTTTCGCTGACTCTTCCTCCTCCTTACTGAAGTCCAGGATGCTTGTGAGGGTCCCTACTGTCCTCTGTGTGTCAGCATTGTCTGCGTTCCCACCTCTCCCTGCAGGGTGGTGGTTGGAGCCCCACAGGAGATCACGGCTGCCAACCAGACAGGTGGCCTCTACCAGTGTGATTACAGCACGGGCAGGTGTGAGCCTGTCCCCCTGCAGGGTAAGTCACTGTCCTGCTGGGGTCCAGGGCTGGGGGCCCAGCATGGCACTCCTTGTTCTGGGGTTCTGTGGGGGGTGCTCCCTGGGCTCTGCTCTCTGTGGGCTTTGGTAGCCTCTTCCTGCCTTTTCCGTGATTTGGGTGCACCCACATTGCCAGGCTGAAGTAGCCAGCCCCTTTAAGCTGCCCAGTGGACCGCATCTGTCCTTCCTGTCTCCTCAGTCCCCGCGGAGGCCATGAACATGTCCCTGGGCCTGTCCCTGGCAGCTGCCACCAACCCAGCCCAGCTGCTGGTGAGTTGCCCTGGGGTCTCAGCAGGATCCTGAAGGGAGGAGTGGGGCCCTGGGGATACTGGGAGGCAGAGGAGCTGGCAAGAGGGACAGGAGTTGGGCCAGCACCTCGCACTGGCACCCTGCTCCTCAGGCCTGCGGCCCCACTGTGCATCAGACTTGCAAGGAGAACACATATGTCAACGGCCTATGCTTCCTGTTTGATTCCAACCTGCGGCGACAGCCTCAGCACTTCCCAGAGCCCCTCAGAGGTAGGGCCCCATGGCAGAAACCAGAGGGACAGGGTAGGACCAGGCTGGGCACTGCTCATGGTCTAGGGGTGACTTAGAGGTCTAGGTGCAGACGTGTGGGGAAACTGGGGTCTTTTGCACACACAGAGGCCGGGGGCACCTCGAGGAAAGCCCTGACACAGCTACTTACCTCTGGGATGGCCACCAACTGCACAGGCATGGCCCTGTGGTCCTTAGAGCGATGTCAGGATCTCCACCCACAGCCTTCCATGTGGTGGATGGTGCAGCCCCTGCTGGTCTCTCTCACCGCCCGTCTTTTTTCCTCAAGTCCCCCCTGCCCCTGCACCTCCTTTTGCCGGGAATTACGCGGGATGCCTTGTGTCATGGTATAAGAGCCATTTTCCTGGCTCACTTTTCTTCAAAGCCTAGCCTACAACCTTGCGCTGTCCTCTCAGCTCAGGTGCCACCGCCCCTCCCGACAGGGGCCTTTCCTCCGATCATTCCCAACACTCTACCACACTGCCCTGCTTTACTATCGCCGGATCTGTGCATTTGCACGTTGCTTGTTTCTTATCCATCTTTCCTCTGTAGTGTAGGCTCCATGACAGCAGGAACTTTGGCTAGCTATTCACTGCTACATGTCCTTCTGTCTGTTGTTGTTTGACAACAGCTGAATTTAGCAGTTTAAAACAACAAACATAGTCAGGGGCTAGGGATTTAGCTCAGTGGCACTGTGCCTGCCTTGCAAGCACAAGTTCCTGAGTTTGATCCCCAGTACCAAAAAAAACCAAAAGAAAACAAAACAAAAATGCCAAAAACCAAAAACACCCCCAAAGCCTCCCAAAACAAACAAACAAACAAACAAACAAACAAAATAATTAGATGTTGTGGCACATGCCTGTAATCCCAGAACTCTGGGAGACTGAGGTAGGAGGATAGAAAGTTTGAGCCCAGCCTGGCAATTTAGCAAGACCCTGCCTCCAAATAAAAAATAAAAAAAGGGCTGGAATATAACTCAATAGGAAGGCCATGGATTAAATCCTCAGCACCAAAAACCCAAACCAAAATAAAATTACTATTTCAAGATTTCTTTAAATCAGGAAATCAGGAATCTAGGCCTTGCTTAACCACTGCCTCTGCCTCAGAATTTCTCCTGAGATTGAAGTCAAGTTGTCCAATCAGAGCATTGGTTTCAGTTGAAGGCCTGGGCAGAGGAAACAGTTTTCCCTCCTGCTGGTCTCATCGTCTCCCATTGCCTCCCTTTGCCACCAGCCTTCTGCAAAGGGCTCCCTTGCTTTGTCTCTTGCCATTTGCCCCATTTCATGCATCCTCACTCCCTGATGCCTGGCTTCTCTCCACACATTTGTACAGATCTTGCTCTTGGCAGTGGCCGACAATCCCACTAAATGCCAATTCTCTTCTCTGTGTTCAGGTTACTAAGATTTCTGATGTGGACTGCAGTTTGTCTCTTCCTTCTCCACACACTTTGGCCTCAGACCCCTGCTCACTTGCTGCTTCCCCTGCTTGGGGTTTCTCATCCTCATCCCCCAGCACCTTTGTTGGCCTTCTCTACCTAAGAGAAGGTTCTTCTCTTTCTTTTTTTCCTCACTGAGTTTATTGGTACATTTTAGATATACAGTACAGTTACATTTATCGTTGGGATCTTGTACTTTTACATGACAGGTCTTGGTTCTCATTTTTTCCCCTTATCCCTGTCCTCCTTTCACCCCTCTGCACTTTCCTATTTACAAGTACTTTATTTCCATTTTTTCATGTTTGTTTTCTTTTCCCTTATTTCCTTTCCCCCACCCTGCCTACTTCCCCTACACCTTTAGCCCCTTTCTTCCTATTTCACATTGTCAATTATGCCATTAGGATCGAGAAGGTACTTCTCTAAGAGGTGGTACTTTATCCCTAAAGCCTTTGCCACCCCAAGTTATTTGGGAGGTAAAGAAGGTCCACTGTCACTCTACAGAGACTGAAGTAGTGCAAATCTAGGGATGATTTCTTTAAGAAGCACCCTTCTTCTTCTGTAGCCTTTTTTAAATGGATAGAAAAGGTTTCAATCCAGCCTGTAAAGGTGTCAATTAGGACCCGCATCCATTTAAATCCTCCACATGTGGTGGCATGTGGGTAAAGTCTTGTTGCCAGTCCTCTCCAAGGTATGTCCCTCTCCTCTGCACAGGTTCTTATAAAGGAGGAGCTTTGGGCTTGCCCAGGTTGTTGTAGGCACAGAGTAGGCAAACTTTGCAGACCTGATGGGTGGTTGCTACTGATCCTAGTCCTGTGAAAACTTGAGTGGCTATTTCTAGTGTAGCATCTCTTTTCATGTGGAAGGAATTATGAAGTGTTTTTATAGCAATCTACTGCATCCCTTGAGGAAGGACCAGTTTGTTTTCTAAATATCACCAGAGTTCCTTTTAAATTCCTCTTTGTTCTGAACCCACTTATTTCCCTGGGTGTATAGTCTGATTTTAATGGTTCCTCAGGAACTGGAAATAAGGCTAGAGTATTAAGGGCTTAATATACAGGGCTTCTTTTGCTTCCCCATCAGAATTTTGATTTCCCAGAGAGAATTTAGACATGTCTCTTTGGTTTCTTTTACAGTGCATGACTGTGACCCGTTTAGGAAAATGGATTGCCTCTAGGAGTTGTAGAATTTCCTACCTGTGCTTGATGGATGGCAGTAAGCCTCTTTTTTTTCAGATTGCTGCATGGATGTGTAGTATCGGGAAGGCATATTTGGAGTGTGTGTAGATGTTTTTTGTTTTGTTTTGTTTTTTGACACAGGGTCTCGCTATGTAGCCCAGGCTGACCTAAAACTCACAGTGATCCTGCCTCAGCCTCCCGTGTGCTGGGATTACAGCCATATACCACCATGCCAAGCTTTGTAGCTTCTTCTGTTAGGACAGCTGTAGCTTCTACTGCTTTCAGGCAGGGTGGACATCCAGCAGCCACTCCATCTAATTACTTTGAAAAGTATCCCATTGTGCAGGGCTCTTGCCCTACCATTTGGGTCAAGCCCCCAAAGCAATTCCCCCTTTTTTTGACACATAAAGAAAGAAAGGCTTTCTTAAGTCAGGTATTTCCAGTGCTGGAGCCTGAGTAAGGGCCTGCTTTATTTTCTTAAAGGCATTGTCAGTCACTTTTGTCTATTGTAAGGGCAGGCTCTGGGTCTTTGACACTTGCCTCAAATTAGGTAGCCAGATCCTACAGAAGCCAGCCAACCCCAGGAAAGAAAAAAGCCTTCATTTGGTGGCCATAGGCCCAAGATCACAGATAGCCTTGATCCGGTCCCTAGATAAGCTGTTGGTTCCCAGGTGTAAGAATATACCCTAGATATTGAAAGGATTTCTGAGCCTTTTCTTTGAAGACTATATAGCCCTTCTTAGCTAGAAAGTTGAGAGTCTGTACAGTGTTATAGTTAGATAATGTTTGAGTTGGGCTATAAACTAGAAATGTCATCTACATGCTGTAGGGTGGTTCCTTGGTTAAGTTTTAAGTTCCTCAAGTCTCTCTAGTGCCTGAGCAAAAAGGTAAGGATTGTCTCTAAACCCTCATGGGAGAACTGTCCAGGTACATCACTGCCTTTCTCCTGAAATGGGATTTTCCCATTCAAAGACAAACAGAAATTGGGAGTCTGGATGTAGAGGGATGGAGAAATGTGCATCTTTCAAATCTAAGACTGTGAATGGAATTAACATTAGAAAAAGAAAAAATGGAAACAAAGTCTTTGTAGATAGGGAGGGGTGAAGGGGTTGAAGGGAGGGCAGGGGAATGGGGAAAAAATAAGAACCAAGATGGATTATGTAAAGGTGCAAATTTCCAATGATGAACATCACTACATTGTATACCTTAAATGTACCAATAAAATTTATTAATTAAAAAAAATCTAAGCCTGAGAACCAATTAGTGCCCCCTGGAGTTGGGAGAGAATTGTGTGAGGATCTGCCTCTAGGGGATGGATTAGAAGACAGCTTTGTGAATGAGGCGGAGGGCTTGACAGGGAGAGCATTACAAGGGGAGTGAGAAGTCTTCAGAAGGCTACAGGGAGAAACTTGTCTATGAGAGACTGGAGGCCTTTATGCCTCCTTGACTGGATGCTGCTTTTGGTTAGGAAACTGGCTAGGGTCTTTCAGTTTTATAACCACTGGCATGGCTGAATTTTCCCTCCCACATATTCCATTATACCATGCAGCAGGATCTATTTGTTGGCCAGTTTGGCCAGGGAAACCTTGTGTTGTCTCAATAAGTAAAATCTGTTTTGGCTTTAGCTGGAATTTGAGAATTTCCTCCAGTTTAGCTAGCAAGGGAGTAGGACACTGCAGGACAATTAGAAACTCATGGTTAAACATTTGGCCTTCAAAGTGGCATATCAGAGGAGGAATAAAAAGAATTTTTTGGCTATGGGTCCTCTTGACTATGGCTATAGACCCAGAGGAGGATTTTCCAAAGAAGGAAGCCAAAATGGAAGGAGCTACTCCGGTATCAATAAGCAGTTAAATCGGCTCAGCACGACATCCAAGTTTACCCATTTCTCCTCAGAGGAGAGGGCGATGTCTGTGGACGGGGCATGCAGGTTCCTCTGGGCCTCTCCAGTCATCAGAGCAGGAAGGGAGGGTTCAGGCTGGCCTGGCCCCTCTCTGCAAGTGGGGCCAGTCAGATCTCCAGTGCCACGCATCAAGCATGTTAACTGCCTTGTGTGGAGCGGGGCCCAGGAGGAAGCTTGGTGTAATCTGGTGCCTATTATTCAGTCTTTTTTTTTTTTTTTTT